CACTTTCGTTTTTCTCCGCACGTGGGAATTCCTCATTCATCCATATGCGTCTCCTCCTCACAATACTCAAAAAATAAAAAGTACGTTCCAATACCTTTTCCTGGAGGAAGCTGTAATGAATTATCAGTTCGTTGATCAGTTCGTCGAGCCGTGCAATGAGGCAATCCAAGGAGATTCCATTGACATCTTCTTAGCGAGTTTTTTGACTAATATAGTGGCACACCTTTCGTGCAAATCCTTATGTACCACCTTTTGCAGCTTCAATTCAACAACCAGTATTTGCAAAAACGCGAGTAAGACCGAATCTTCTTTTAAAAAAGGTTTACTGAACAAATGCAAACAAAAATTACAAAGTTACAATAGACTCGATCAGCTCGGTCAAAAAACTGTGTTGCTTCCAACATCCATAACTGCAATCTGCCTTAAACGTATGAACTAATGACCTCATGACGTATTACTGTCGGAAGCCAAAATACCAAATTAAAGGTTTTTAAATTATATCAATTACTAAATTATGCATTTTAGATAATACAATCACAATGAATTCTTATTAAATTTAAATATCAATTTTTATCATGTTTTAACCTTCACTAAATTATTATCACAAATGAATTATGCATAACTGGCTCTTACAGTAGTAGTTATATACACTTGGGAAAAGAGTAAATATTACTCTATATTACTCTATTACTCTATAGTTTAAACTATATATATATATAAAGTTATAGTTATTAATAAAATAAATAAAGTTATATATATTAATAAAACTTATGCAATCTGCACTCTCGAAATGAAAGTACAAAGACTGCCACCTGATGGCGCACAGAGAAAACTTATTGATATGAACTTTTTAGATCGCTTAGAACGAATTGTGTATAATACACATGCACAATGTGACTTTTTTTTAAAGCAATAATGCATAATTTTTAAAGCATGAACATGTTTTGACAGTTAATATGCCAGTGATTTGATGCTTCACAAAAGTTGCAGACGCCTTTACCAATATCAAAATTATTTTGTAAACAACCAGTTATTATTTAAGATTAGATTAAAAAAATGGCTACTATAATAAAGAAAATCTTTTCTAAATGTAAAACTAAATACATTGATTATCATTGAAATACATGATGAATACTCTTGACACATGAAAGCGTAAAGCCTGCAGCTCACAACAAATGTGGAAGGTTATTGCATGTCATATTTAACAAACCTGCTAAATTGTTGTAATTTTGCTCACATGGATAACTGAATATTAATCAGATGATGTAATTACGCTGCTGTGCCATCAGCCACTTGTTGCATTGCTGATCATGATTTCGAGGATCGATAGATCTGTCCTTCACAACACATGCAGCGATCTCAGATCAGTTTATCCAGACATTCTAATCTGATTCGCGAACTTGTTTGAAGAACCAAATTAGCGAGAGATCAGTTATCAAGATTAAAAGATCCAGGATCTGCCAAATCATCTTAGATAATTTAAGCGAGGTACGAAGAACGGACCCCAGGTCTCAGTCCTCCTGTGACTAATAATTGTGACTTCAATTGTATATTTTACTGTAAACTTTATCATTATCATTAAACAAACCAACAATAATAGACTAAATCCTATATTAACTGCAGCTACAATCAAACTTGACCATTTATTTTCATCGAAAAATAATGAAAGTTTCTGAAATTCACATTTTAATTGTCTCAGGGCTCGAAATTGCGACCATTTTGGTCGCATATGCGCCCGAAAATTAATCTATGCGACCTCATAATATATCTGGGAGCATTAGTGCGACTGCAGATAATGGTTGTAGTGCGACGTGTTTTGATTTTTTGTAAAAACGTGCTGAATCGCTCTTCTCTGCCGCTATATTGGTTCATATTAGCTGTCATTCACTCAAGGTATTCCGCTGTCAGATGACAGGGAAGGAGCTTTTATGACCACGGGAAATGCAAACGGCTAAAAAGTAAAGACTTAAAGCACACAGGTTTGCAAACCCCACCTAAAGTTGAGGCGCAGATGAAAGCGATCATGACACGTCACGTGGTGAATAATTATCCACCAGCTGAGATCAATCGAGTACGCGCTTCTTGGAGAAGGTGCCCGAATCTCCATGCGTTGCATTCACTGCGTGTTCAGCGCAAATGTCCGCTAAAAGTCAAATCTAATACTGCACATATCATCGCCGAAGAAGCTCGCCTTTACTAAGTTTACACTGAAACTGCGGCTCATAACAAAGACCGGTATTGGGCCGGTGGTCAGCGCAAGAATCCTGCTCTGCCTGCTCATAAAATAGGTCGGCTGACTCGCCAGCTTTTCCACTAACACAGAAAAATGAAGATCATCTCAGACTGAACCTTTAAACTGACACAAACTGAAACCAAAACTTTTAAAGAGTGATAGAAGTGAGACTTTACTTACTTTCTTTTGTCTATTCTTGTTTGAGGTGTATATTATTTTTTTTATTTATTTACTGATGACTACTTTGCAGCTTTCATCATTGAATTGAATGATTTATTATAATCTTTTATTTGTTTTGTTGCAGAAATATTATTTATTAAATTGACATGCATATATAAAAACAGCAGTACAAAATAAATATTTCTTACTGCAATACTTCATTTTTGTTTGATGTAAACTATACAATTATTTTTCATAAAGTAACAGACTTTTTATAGCAGATAACCTACATTCATGCACATTCAAGGCAGTATTATAATGAGAAATGGAATTCATCATTACTATTATTGTCATTTTTTTATCATCATTAATATTCTATGGCCTAATTATTAGACATTCATTTTGGAATTATTGCACACAAGTATCAATGTCTTCGCAGCATTAGTTAGATAGTTGTTTCTGGTTTTTGTCAGTCCTATTAATGTTGTTTTAAAATACAATAAATCCCTTAAAAAACAATTTGCAGCGGTGCTCATTCATTTTTGGTGGGTGCTCCTAAATTTTTTCTGGTGTTCTTAAAATTTTTTTGTGCTCCTAAATATTTGAAGTTGGGAGCACCGGTGCTACCAAGTAAAAAAGTTAATTTCGAGCCCTGTGTCTGATTGGGATTTAGTTACAAAATGCAAATAGCAAACACTTTCAATTGTTGACACATCCAGAGTTGCCATGGTTACCATGTCTGTGAGGTCTGATTTAATTAAGTCATTTACTAAATCACTACTTTCAAAAAGTCATGTGCTCATTAGCCCAGTTTTACTGAGTTGCAAATATTCACAAACTGGCATTAATGGAAAATAATCGCCAATGAAAAGCTATTATAATTAGCATTCTGTTGGGTTCTTTCTGGCAAAGCATGCACTGCTTAAAAGCTGAAAGACAAATGCATTAATTAAAAAGCAAAATTAAAAAGACAGAAAAAAAACAAAAACATTTGATCCGCTCTTCCAAAGGAGGGCGCTGTTTTCAGCATCCTCACATTAGAAGGAGATTCGTTCATTAGAGAAAATAATTCAACATAGAAACCCTTTCAGAGAAATCCTCCACAAGCGGCATGTACTTCAACACATGCACTAAATGTATTTGCATGCATTTCTCCTCCTCTAAAGTTCATTTGAATATTCATTTGAAGAAATCGATTCGCTGGGAAGCTTCGTTTGAAAGAATCGGTTCAGTGGAAATGATTCACATTTTGTTTTGCTATGCCTTTCACAGAAAGTTGTCAAATTAAGTAAACAGAACACAAACACAAAAGGAGATATCAACATATATTGGCTGTTTTAGGAACTTGTCTTTCATTAATAAGTAATTTAAACCATGGTGATGTCTTGTTTTGGACATGTAAACATGCCATGATTCCATGAAATTATGGAGGAAATTATAGCATCCCAATTCTGGAAAGTTGGTATGTTTTGTAAAAATGCAATACAGTGAAGAATATTGGATGGACTAACTATATTTAACCTTCTTTTAAACTGTTAAATGTGCAAAGACAATTTGACCAATTAAGCATTATGTAAATATAAAGACATTTCGATTTTGATGGATGCAACACAACAAAAATGTTGGAACAAATACATTTCACACAATTTCACACCAACTTTCCTTTTAATTACAATGTTTATTTATTTGAAAATTGACGACACTAACTGATCCGTAGTTTTGTACAACTTGACATGGTAGAAGACTTCAGTCAAACATCCCATATGAAAACATAAATAAATACCATAGCAATTATAGCAAATACTAGAGCATTTTTAACTATATAGTAACATGTATTATATTGTATGTCTTGTAGCTTTTACAACACTTTGTTAATGGATGCTCCTACTGTAGAATAAACTATAGTGAACTGATAAACTGTAATAAATACAGTATAGTTCAGTTTTAACTGCAGTAAATTGTGTTGTATTATAATATACCCTGAAGAAAATATAGTACTATATTGTAAATGGTAAATATTCTTTGAAATTTTGCATTCAAAAGGTTATTTTTCTGTAAAAAATTCTGTCATGACTTTGCCACAAAATGTTTAGAAATCTTTAGTACCTAATTTTGTGCTTATTATTGTAGACTTTTAAGCTTATGAGTTTCATTTTATCTCTTTGCACAAACTTTTAATTGTCAGTCAAAACACTGAAAACACTTTTGTCAATTAAATATAAGGTAAAGACAATAAAAAACAACAAAACAGGTTCTTAAATTTGATAAAAACTCCCCATTTTAAATTGTAGTTGCATTAAGTTCAATTATATTAATCAATTAACGCAGTATTACTACATGAGGCCTTTCTTTTGTACTGCTCAGGTGTTCCTTTAAGCTATTGTTTTCTGTAGTTAAATTAAACGTTAAGTTAAATAATTTAGGCTAGAATACTTCAGTGGTTTGTTATTTAGACTGTTCTGTGTAAATGAGACATTCTTCATCCCTTACCTGACAGAAAATTAGTAAACCGTGTGGCGATGTTCATAATGTTTGTCAGGCGTCGAGTGATTTACAAACGCTTGCGAATCTGTGCGACTGAATCGTTTGAAGGAATCGGTTCAGATGAATGATTCATTTGTGAATCGCTCACATCAGCCACTGCAGGCAGGCAGCCGAACCCGCCGCCTGTGATGGAGGAGCGGATCTGATCCGATTTTACCGGCTCCTCCGACAAATATGCTGCTCGAACAAACCCGGTTTCCACATAAAATCACCGAAACCACCGACTAATTGATATGTGAACTGAATCAGGTAAAGCTGTTTATTCATAATGTCTGTCCTGTGTTTGTGTGTTTGCTCAGTTCAACTGTCACATGGGTCGCGTCTCAAAACCCAGTTTGCTCCCTATATTGACAACATCTGTAGCCATTATATATTAAAATCCTAAGGTGCTTACAGCTTAACCTGTATTTTAAAGCTGAGAACACGTGTAAACATGTTACTTGTATACTGTAGTAGCATTCAGGCATCTTTGTTTTGAACCCAAGTGCACTGTCTAGTAAGTGAGCTCAGTAGGTTTTCAAACACAACCAGAGTCCGCATTGCGGCCTGCTCCGGTATATACAGAGCTCTTTATTAACACCTGTGTTAAATGTAAGGGTTTGTGTATTCGATGAAGTGATAATAAGCGGTGACGGATGGCTGACAGCTGTCATCTGTTTGTTTTGAAGCGATTGTGAGGCTGGAATTAGCTGTCAAACAAACATGTCTCAGATTGATTCGCGCCAAAGCTTGGAAAACGTCAAAACATACGGCGGGATTTAATTTGTTATTTTGTTTATTTAATTTCAGTGGAGCTAACTCTTATTTCTGCTCTTTTGTTTTAATGTTTAGCAGTACATTGATGGATTTAATCCCAGTCACCGTTGGCAGTCAGTCTGTGTTAGCATAGCTCTCGTACTGCTAATAGCCTTCATCCTCTTGTATAAAACGAGTTTTATTTGCATATACATTGTGTAAGGGTATACAATTAATATGTAAATATGAATACCAATGTTTGTGTTAGGATTTAAAGCTTCACTGACTCTTATCCGTTCGGTTAGCATAGAAGCTAACAAACACAGCGGCTACGGAAGTCGAATTGAAAACATCACCAGGACGTGGAATTTAGGAAGATTTTGCTTTTTATTAATCATTTATTTTTGCTTTTTTTAGTACTTATTTGCGTGATAACGAGTGTGCTAAAACAAATAACATTATGGGCACCGTATTAAAGTATGAGTACCTGAAAGTGACACGTAAATACATGGTATATTATTTATTTTAAATAAGCTATATTTCTATCTACCATCACAATGGCACAACATTTTAGCATAAGATTTTTTTTGTACCAAATGCACTGTTATTCAGCCGTAAACCATGGTATACTTCTGTGTTTTACAATGCCATTTATATTCCGGTTACTTTTTTATTTGATGTGTTGTAAGTTAGCCTACAGTTATTATTGATGTATTAAATTTGACATAGCATATTTGTGTGCAGTATAGTAATATATAATTGCAGTATTTTAGTTAATTGTGACACACAGACACACCTTATTTTCTTATTTACAATACAGTATGCCTCATCCCAATATGTAAAAGTAACATATATATATATATATATATATATATATATATATATATATATATATATATATATATATATATATATATATATATACAATTGTAAACATCTATATATGTTGCATAAAGTCTACACATTTAAATCCATATTGTATTATTATTATTATTTATCTTTGTATTTGTATTAGTATACATTTATAACATCTATAAATTCTCTCCATCTTGCATATAGTGAACAGATTTAAATCTGTATTTTGTAATATATAATTTATTATTATTATTATTATTTTAAACCTATATATTTAAAGTTGGTGTTGAAGGATTTGCAAAGGGCGTCACAGTGGCGCAGTGAGTAGCACGATTGCCTCACAGCAAGAAGGTTGCTGGTTCGAGTCCTGGCTGGGTCAGTCGGCATTTCTGTGTGGTGTTTGCATGGTCTCCCCGAGTTGACGTGGGTTTCCTCCGGGCACTCCAGTTTCCCCCACAGTCCAAACACATGTGCTATAGGGGAATTGATGAACTAAATTGGCCATAGTGTATCAGTGTGAATGCAAGAGTGTATGGGTGTTCCCCAGAACTGGGTTGCGGCTGAAGGGGAATCCACTGTGTAAAACATATGCTGGATAACTTGCCGGTTCATTCCGCTGTGGCGACCCCTGAATAATAAAGGGACTAAGCTGAAAAGAAAATGAATGAATGAATGCAAGGACATTTTTAATGAATTGTGTTTGTATATTTAAATAAAATGCTCACTCACGCACACACACACACACACACATAAATATATGTGTCTGAGTCTTAGGGTGCTTTCACACTAGCACTTTTGGTCCACACCCGGACCAAACACATCGAACTTGGGTGCGGTCCAGGCAAATGAACCAAGTGTGAAAGCACCCTTATTTAATATACAGAATTCAAAGGGGCACGAAACCAGCTGTCTCAGCAGGGTGTTTTCACACCTTTAGTTTGGAAAAAGTCAGGAAAGTGGGTGTGTCCAGCTCTGTTTAGTTGGGAGTGTCAGGGGAGGGAAAGAGGGAAGGTTTTGCATTAAATTGGGAGTTTCCGTTTGGGCACGCGCTGATTTTCACAGAGGCAAAACAAACACAGACGCAGGGGAGAAAGACAGTGACTGTGTTTTCATGGACATCAGTAGTAGAATTATTTGCCAAACTATTAATTTATCGACTTTAACTGCAGTCTTTCATTCAGGAGCATTTCATGCATGCCCCCCGTGACAAACGAGATATTCAATTTGAGGAACTGTTGGAAGAGTGTAGTTTAATGGAGTGTTTGTTTCCGCATGGCGAATGGGAGAAAAAACCTCTGCATTTCTCGGTAACTTAGATGCACTTGGTAGGAAGCGTCAGAAAGCCGTGTGTATGGACTATCCTGTCACAAAATGCGGCGAAAATTCTGCACGACGGTAAAAGTTTGATTGCGGAGTTTACATGTTTACACTCACAGAGCAGCATTTACAGCGGATCTTTTAGTTTATAATATTGTAGTGATGTTATCGTACTGTAAACTTAGAAACTAAATCATTTTGACTAAGGTCTGTCTTTAAACACTGCAAGAGTACTGCTGACGAAACGAACTGACTTTACCTCTGAATAAACATAAACAAAGACCACTGATCGCTCACTTACCAAATCTGTAAAGACAGGACAATCAACACCAACTGGAGCTGCGTCTTTTTTAAAAGTAGACGAGCAGCAAATCAGGATTTCACCATTTCCAGATGCGAAAAGCTCTCGGGTAAACGATGCTCCGTGCAAACATATTTCTGTTGCATGTCACGTGCACTGTAGTCCACACGTGAGTCCAGCTGCACTCTCATAGCGGGGAAATGAAAACAAACCCTTTGTTGCAGCAAATTTATGAATAAAACACTGACGACCTGTGTCTCCAAGCAATTCTTCTTTTTCTACTTGTTTTGGCAACACAACGTGGCGTCTCTCTGCTGTCTGAACACTGTAACAGGTAAAAACGGTCTTCAAAGCTATCATGCATATTAATGAAGTCGCACCGCACGAGCTGATTGGTTTGAACCAAACTATACTCATGAATTAATGCTGCTCACTCAGAGACATCACGATGCACTCCCAGGTACAGACATCCAGTGTCCACTCTGGAATAAACGCAAGGATCTAACTGGTGTGACGCAGCTTCAAAAATTAGTTTCGAACCGAATTTGCTCAAAATAACGCAAAAGACTTGATCTCTGTGCTGACACAGACGCTCATTTTTGATTATATGGTTTCATTTAGATAGATAGGTTTCCGTTTAAATTAATGAAAAATATACATATAATGTGTTTGTAAAGTGTTTTTTCATGACATATTCACCAGTAAAATACATTGCGGTTGTGTCTGAAACTAATGTTAGGGTTGTAGCCGGCATGCCTCCCGATCTCTCACTCTCTCCCGCTCCCTCTATGCCTGTCATTTATGTAGGTCCGCCTTCACGACAGCTGATGCCTGTCATTTCTGTAGGTCCGCCTTTTTGACAGCTGATTGGTCAGGAGACCGATCTATCATCATTTGGCGACGCAGCGCGGGAATGTAAAAAGCATGTCAGGAAGAGCGGGAGAGAGAGAGCGCTTTTTCCTTTGATCTCGTTTTTCGTGTATTTTTCTGACATGATTATGATTTTCGTTGTTTTTGCTTAACTTTCGTTTGGGTAAAATTATTTTGCATTGCTTTTGCCCACTTTAAGAAATTTTGTGAGGTTTGTACATGTTTATTTCAATTGATTTGTATATTATTTTTTAGCTCCGACAATATAGCTGTATCTCCTCAAGTTCAGTCTTAGTGTAAGGTGGATAGGGAAAATGTCATACGATTTCCATTTTGCAAACACGTAGAAAATGTATTGTTAAAGACATCAGGTAAGAGGTGAAGGTCATCTTTGTTTATTTTATTCAGTATAGGGAAGAATGCGGCGCACGGCGCTGAAGACCTTTTTTTTTCTTTTCATCAGTTTTAGCGAGGTAAGAGGGGTTATTCATGAGTTAGAATTGTTTTATTATATTTATTTCTTTTGTTTGTCTTCACTATCACCCCCTTGCTCGAGTTTAACTAATTTTTGTTTGATACTTTTGTTTGAATTTGTTACTTTATTATATTATTTTTATTAGTGTAAATATTTCTCTTTTTTTGTATATTTGGGCATTATTCTGGTTTTACTTTTGTACATTAAATCACTTTTGTTGGCAGTTCTGTTGCTTACACCCTCACATTGTGAAATTACCACACTTTTTAAATGTTTTTCCTTACAAGTAAGTTTCGTGAAACAGTTGAGACAGACAGGCGTGCGCTTTGTCTACGACACGAATTCTATTCCTGTACTCAACTGGAAAACTGTTTCCACACAGATGACTTAAATGTGTCTGGGGGATATGCAATCTCAGTACTATGTGAAGCAGCCATCCTGCGTCCAGTAGTAACGAGTGTGATGCTTACTCAAGTCACATGACATAACATGCACTAAAATACTAACTTTAGAATATAATATTTAGAACAAATCCTCATCATTACAAAAACAATTGAATCAAATATGATAATAAAGATGTGTTTAAATTGGTTCAATTAGTTAGAGACAAGTGACGTCAACCTCAACAATGGACAGCAGGGGGCGTGAGAGTACCGCGGTATGCCACGAGAGTTTTGCGATATGTATCGTGGTTGGTGTATCGCGATATTTCGGTTCGGTTGTAATATCGTTACTTCCCTACTTAATAGTGTTTATAGCAGCGTAAGACACAAATATGACTGTCAACAGCTTAAAAAATGTGTTTTGGTGTTTTGTTACCCTTTAATACTGTGTTCACACCAGACGCAGAACACGCGTCAAGCGCGAGTGATTTACATGTTAAGTCAATGCAAACGCGCGAATGGTGCGGCGCGAATTGAGCGATTGCGGGAATCGCTCGATTTTAAAATTCTGAACTAGCTGACATTCGCGCCGCGTTAACCAATCAGGAGCTTGCTCTTGAGTGGGGCGTGATTGTGACGTACGCCTGTTGTTGGTGTCCCGGGGGAAATCCTCCAGCCGACACCGACAACAGTGCTTCAAACTGAGCTGATCAAGTTTCTGGAGGAGTTTATGAGCTCAAAGAGCTGGATGCACCTCTGAAAGGATCTAGTAGACTCAGACACGACCCTAAACATATCGACGCTGTTTTTCATCCTTCATAAAGCACATAAACACTGTTCTGAAGTAAATTTGATGCGCGAATGAAGCGAGTAAACTCAAATGTTCACGCGGCTATTTACGTGCGCATAGCTCGATTTATCCGTGCGTTAAGCGTCTGGTGTGAACACAGCATAAGTCTCAATCTAATATGTAAAAGAACATTTATTTGAGTAGTTAAATGAATATATTTTCAAGCATGCATTTCTCTTGCACTGTGTATAGTTTAGATCTTGTAATCTGTATTCTGATGAGCGTGTTATTCCTGAGGGTTTGAGATCCACTTGGCCTCGTTCCATGTTTAAAGTTTTCATGCTAATATTAGCAGAGCGCTCAGATTGTGTCCAGATTAGTAAAGCTGGAGAGACTTGTGTTGAGCATCTGGGTTATTTCAGAGCTGACTGTTTTGTTTTTACTGATTTGTTAGATTGTTGGTCTTTGTCTTATGACTGAAATCACAGCTCCTCGTGTTAGATTAAAGCTGAGGATCAGGTGATCAGAACAGGGCGTGTTGTTGTCAAAACAGTGTCCTGCATAGTTTGTCATCATTTCTGTATGAGATAGCAGACACTGATGTCTGATAAGAGGAAGCATATTATGAACCAGCGCAGTTCACATGACCAAAATAGCCATAGCATAAAGCATATATGCAGCGGATGCCCTTCCAGCCGCAACCCACCCCTGGGAAACACCCATACACCCTTGCATTCGCACACATACACTACAGCCAATTTAGCTTATGCAAACTTCAACTTTATGCTAACTTCACACAGAAATGCCGACTGACCCAACAAGGGTTCGAACCAGTGACCTTTTTGTTGATAGGCGATCATGTTACCCGTTGTGCCACCATGACACCCATAGAGCTATCTATCTATCTATAGCTGTATAACTTGAAAAAATGAGTTTATTTTGGAAACTAGCAGACTTAAATATGTATTATTCATACTTTTTATTTATTTAATTTGTCATTTTTTAATATAATTGTTAATAAAAATATTTAATTTTCACTTATTTTTATTATACAACTCATTTTTTAATATAATTATTAATATAAAAATTTGTTTTTACTCATTTTTTACGTTACATCTTATGTTTTAGTAGTTAAACAAGTTAAACTAAATAAAAATACATTTTTAACTATCACATTTAATTAATTTATATGTTGTTATGTATTATTGGTTTGTTTTTATTTCATGTGATGACATTTTTAGTTTTATTTAACTTTAGCAGTCCTTATATACTGCTTAATATTATGCAATATCAATTTATTAAACTGTGTTTAATGATTTCTTATTGTTTTTAAATTAGATTACTCTCTGTCATGCTCAAAACGGTTGTAGTTTTAGTATTTATTTATTTACCTTTTTATTGATTGAATTATTTTATTGATTAGTTATTTATCATCATAACATTTTTATATGACTTTTTATTAGTTTTAGTCTTTTATTATTATTGTTTTTGTTATTGTTTTAATGCCTGTAATGTTATTTATTTATTTATTTTTATTTTTTTATTTTTTTGACATTTTTAGTAATATAAATCTTAGTTGTTTTTGTTAATTTTTATTTTGGTTTCTGCATTAGATCAAACTTAAGTTAAATGAGTTTATTTTTGAAACTAGCAGACTTAAATGTTATTTATTAATACTCTATTTATTTCACTTGTCATTTTTAATATAATTATTAATATAAAAGTTTGTTTTTACTCACTTGTATATTTCATGTAACATTTTAGTAGTTAATCACGTTGAAGTAAATAAAAATAACATTTTAACTATCACAGTTAATTTAGTTGTATATGTTGTTATGTATTAGTGGTTTGTTTTTATTTTGTGACAATGTTATTATAGGTTTATTTAACTTTAGTAACCTTTATATACTGCTTAATATTATGCAACATCAACTTATTTAACCGTATTTAATGATTTCTTAGTGTTTTTAAATTATTCACTCCGTCACCCTGAAAATTGTTGTAGTTTTATCATTTATTTATTTATTTATTTATTTATTTATTTATTTATTTATTTGAGTTATTTATTATCATTAACAGTTTTGCATAACTTTTTATTAGTTTTAGTCTTTTATTATTATTATTGTTTTTGTTATGCTTTTGTCATTTTTATTAATAATAATCTTATTTTTTTTGTTAATTTGTATTTTGTTTTCTGCATTAGCTCAGACTTAATTTAAATGGGTTTATTTTGGAAACTAGCAGACTTAAATATGTTTTAATCATGTCTTTTTATTTATTTAATTTGTCATTTTTTATGTAATTATTAATATAAATATTTAGTTTTCACTCATTTTTATAATACAAATAATGTTTTAGTAGTAACTTTTACTGTATCACATTTAATTTATTTTTGTTATTATCTGTTATTGGTTTGTTTTATTCTATGTGAAGTTAATGTTTTTAGTTAATTTTAATAACTGATATACTGCTTATTTTTAAGCAAAATCGATTTGTTTAACATATTTAGAATTCTGTACATTAATGTTCATTAAGGCATTATCAATTTTGTATACCTTTTGTATTTTTAATTACTTATTATTATTATTATTATTATTGTTGTTATTATTATTATTGTTATGATTATTTATTTTTAATATATATTTTTTCATTGCATTATTTTAGTGACTGGTTTTGGCTTTAGTTGACTGTATTATTGACCCAGTGCTGTGTTTCTCCTCAGGTGGCAGTCAGATCCAGTAAAGTCATGTACTCTGAGTGGCGGTCTTTACACCTGGTGGTCCAGAGCGATCAGGGTCACCTGAGTGTTTTGCACACTTACCCAGCTGGTGTGGGTCGAGACGTGGCAAACGCTGTGGTTCGGCCCCTGGGAAACAGCCTTGGAGGAGTGCCGTCTGAGTGCCTTCTCAAGACTGACAAGGAGGTGAGAAGTGCGCGTGTGTGTGTGCGTGCGTGCGTGTGTGTGCGTGCGTGTGTGTGAGAATGAGATTTGTGAGAGTATGAGCATGTGCGTGATTGGATGCATGTATGTGCGTGTGTGTACATGAATGTGTAAAATTGTGTCTGTAAAGTGCATGAAAGTGTGTTTGTGTGAGCGTGTGTGTGTAATTTGTAAGCATGTGTGTGTGCATTTGTATAAATGAGTGTGCATGCGTGTGTGCGACTTGTAAAGTGTGAGTATTTTTGTGGGTCTACATGTATGACTTTGTGTGAGTGTGAGATTGTGTCTGTAAATTGCTTGCGTATCTGAGTGTATAAGAGTGTGTGTGCGTGCATGAAATTGTGTCTGTAAAGTGTGTGTTTTTTGTAAGAGTGTGAGTGTGCATGCATTTCTGCTTGTGTGTGTGTGCTTGTGTAACATCTGTCTCTGAATAGTCTTGCAGTCAAAGCCGAGGCTTCAAGCTTGACTTGCTGTGTGGCATGTCTGAATAAATGGGGACGTTCAGCCTGTTAACAGTTAACTTCTGCTCAGCTCAAGAGCAACATCAAGGTGTTTTGGTGGAATTATTTTTTCCGCTGAGCAGTTCAAATTCACTGTTCACCACGTGACGGGTTAGTTTAAGCTCATCAGCTATAAATATTTTGATGAAGCAACTTTTCTTATGTAAATAACTTTAGTATTTTTTCCTATAGGAACAGAACAAAAATAATAATAATAATTCATTTTATTTGTAAATGGCGCCTTTCTAGACACCCAAGGTCGCCTTACAATAAGCATCAGCAGACATGCTAAACAAATTAAACATTACTAAAAACAATCATTGACCAAACAAGTTAAAACGCAATAGCGAATATAAAATAACATAATAAAAACATGATTAAAAAAATTGTTAAGTAAAAGCCTGCTTAAAAACTCAACTTTCTCTTCATATACATATTCTTTATTGCTATAAATGTTGATTATTTACCTATTAAAAAGTACTGTGGTGAGGCAGTGGTGCAGTGGGTAGCACGTTCGCCTCACAGCAAGAAGATTGCTGGTTCGAACCTCGGCTCAGTTGGCGTTTCTGTGTGGAGTTTGCATGTTCTCCCTGCCTTTGCGTGGGTTTCCTCTGAGTGCTCCGGTTTCCCCCACAGTCCAAAGACATGCGGTACAGGTGAATTGGGTAGGCTAAATTGTTAATAGTGTATGAGAGTGTGTGTGTGAATGTGTGTGTGGATGTTTCCCAGAGATGGGTTGTGGCTGGAAGGGCATCCGCTGCGTAAAAACTTGCTGGATAAGTTGGCGGTTCATTCCGCTGTGGCGACCCCGAATTAATAAAGGGACTAAGCCGACAAGAAAATGAATGAAAAGTACTGTCTTATTGAATTATTGTGTTACTCAAATAATCATGTCTGAACAAAAAAAATGTGTGTGTGTGTGTGTCTGTGTGTGTGTGTGTGTATTAAAAAACCAAAAGCAAACAAACAAAAATAAATAAATTATTATAATAAATTATAATCATACTGCAATTATATATATATATATATATATATATATATATATATATATATATATATATATATATATATATATATATATATATATATTTAATAATTAAAATTAAATATATGTTTATGTATGATGCACTTTAGGCACTTTATATTATTATCTTGTAAAACAACCAGTAAAATAGTTATATTATTTCAATAACATCATAGCAAAAACAAAGGAAATATGTTATTAAAAATAATAAAAATGTGTTGGAAAAAAATTCTCTTAAACAGCTCTTAATTAATATTTGAAAAAGAATAAAATTTTCACAGGAAGGCTAACAATAATGTTAAACTGTATTTACTACAATTATTGATCACTAAACAAATGGAAATAACTTAATATGCAGGTTATAAATGTCTTCATTTGTATACAGTTTGTAGTTTCAGTGCCTGATTTATGCCTAAATTAAGAGGAATGTTGTGTTAGTTTTTGCTGAAACATGAATCAAACACCATCAGATCTGTGAAATGCAAAGCCTCTATTATTTGAAAGCTGTTTTATAAAGAGCAATCGATCAAGCATGTCTAAATTTAGCTGCTTAAAAATAAACGGCATCACTAAATGTCTTCTGATGTGTTTTATTTTAACCGCTTATCTTTATAACTGCTGTTCTGTAAACCCATTTAACTCATAATAAATGATCTCCGGAGTGGGCTAAAAATGGACATTATGAGGTCTATTTGACGTTAGACGTGCAGTGTTGTGGTTCCTAATAAAGTTAGAGTTTATTAGGAAGTTAAAGGGCAGCGCTGTGTTGTTTCCTCAGACGTTTATTTGCATAATTTGGTTAGAAACAAAACATGCCGCTCCACTTACGCCTTGGTCTAAAATGAGAGACGTGTGGAGATGTTATAAGTGCAAAGGTCTGTTTTAAAGGGCTAGTTCACCCAATACTGAAAATTCTGTCAACATTTACTCACTTTTTACTTGTTCTAAACCTGTAACCATCGACTTGCAGAGTGTGTGTTTTTCCTACTATGGAGGCTAACGGTTACAGGTTGTCAACTTTCTTCAAAACATCTTCTTTAGTGTATATATACTGTACTGTGCAGGGTTCAACGCTAAGGATTTTTTTCTACTGGTCTGATCGGGCAAGTGGTTTAGATTTTTACTTGCCCTGCCAAAATTTTCACTGGCCCCACCAAAAGAAAAGGGAAGTTAATAGCTATTTTTAGCCACATATTTTAAATAATGTGTCAAAAATAAAGTCTGTAAATCTAGAATTTCAATACTTAAAAAACAATTGTAAATATAAGTGTTATGCAAACAAAAAGAGCAGTATGGAAAATGTGGAGGTACTTTATTGCAGTTTGAAATGATTTAACAAAAAGTGGCTGACTTGTCAAACTGACGACAAACTATGCATAACATCACTTCACTTTAATTTTGTCGTGTTGTTGCCACGTAAATGTCTACTTCCAAGACGTTAGAGACTAGGGTTGTAACAATATACCGGTATGACGGTCTACCACGATTTGAACGTGCACGATTATCATACCATGAACAATTGCATATCAACGGTTTTAACCCTTAAAGACTGAGACAGCCGCCCGCGGCTAAAAATAAGTATTGCTCTTAAATGTTTAATAACTTTTGATCCGCTGATCCGATTCATACAATTCAAAGATTGGCATAAAGAAGAGAATCTCAGCTTTCCAGTGCTGTATCACATTACATTCGCGGACTTTCAGAGGCTCCGGAATCAGTGCGGTTACGTCATCAAAATTTGACAATGCTGATTTGACAAAGTAACGCTCGTCACTGTGTCTCCGGACAAACCAGACATGATGCATTGATGCATTGTCCCTCCTCCATGCCCAGATTGGTTCAAACTCGCTATATCACAACCAATAAGCATAGGTTTCGCTTTTGTTTGTGGACCAACAATCAGCTATTTGAACAACACGGAATGAGAGATAGGCATACATTTATGCGCGGCTAAATAAAACGCAAAAAAAAAAGTTTTGCATGAAATTGTTCTCATACTAAGTACTTTTGCATGCACAGCAGCACAGAAACATGACAAAACAGTGACACAGCAAAGACGAACTGCTGCTCTTGCTGTTTTCAAAAGACGCAAATGAAGGTGCAGCTGTTTGTCTGCATTGCAGACAACCACATCCAAATCCATATCCACAGACAACCATATCCATGCTGGCACATAAAACCTAAGGATGTTCCATATTGAATCTAGTTTCGTTATGTAACTATTTATAGTATAGTAAATATTTATATCTATTTTTTACTGAGGATTTGCACCATGTTTATTTGGACTTTATTTGGACTTTGAAACATTATTTATTATTTTCTTATTTTTATTTGTTCATTGTAAGTGGTGTTGTTTATAGTAACTGAAAATATATTATTTGGAAAAAGTCAAATTTGCTTCACTGTTCTATTATTTTGTAACATTTGTAACATACCGTATACCGCGAAACCGTCAAACCGTGGTATTGTTTTAGACGATTATCATACCGTAAAAATTTCATACCGTTACAACCCTATTAGAGACAGACATTTTCGTTTAGCCTTATAATTTGATGTTGCCGCCAAGTTGCTGTTTCTACGCTGTACTGGTTGTTACCAGGTTACAAAAAAAAAAAAAATAGCATGGTTAAATCAATCATATAAGACGAATCGCAATATGTTGTTTACGACATTACAGAGAAAGTAGCATTTAAAGACTTAACGCAAGCTTAAAATGCACAAATAGTCACAGACAAATTAAATGTTAGTGACTGACAAGGCAGCACTGTCCCAATCGAGCCAGTAATGGTCCGGTCTACTGTCCCAAGTGTCTCTCACACTGGCCCTGGGCCACCGGGCAGTCCTTATTGTTGAGCCCTGCTGTGTGTATGTGCTGTAGTGTATATAGCAGAGGTGGCCAAACTTTTTCATATGAAGGGCCAAAAACCCAATATCAATGATAGCCATGGGCCGAAGATAAATATACCAAACTATTTTACATTAAAGTCGCCATGGGTAATTTCCTGGTTCATATTATTTTTCATAATATTAAGAAATAAATATAACATGTTAATTTGAATCATATTAACTGATGAAGTATAACTTATTTTGATTATAACTCATTGGGGAATACACTAGTCAAGCAGAATCTGACTATGCCTTGATTCACTTACCAAGTGACAAGCCTCTGCATTAGGCTTGGGCGGTATCCAAATTTTGATACCGTCAAACCACCTCCATATTTTACCCCGGTATCCGGTATTACCGGCGTAATAAAAAAAATTATGACGTAAGGCTCAGACAGCATCACCAAACTGTTGGCTTAAGCCTAAACCATTCAGAAACTGAATACCTTCTATGCGACCTTAGCCTCGCGGTCAGAGAGAGAGAGAGAGAGAGAGAGAGAGAGAGAGAGAGAGAGAGAGAGAGCGCAAAGCGACGCACAGCACCTCTCTCTCTCTCTCTCTCTCTCTCTCTTT